TGGAAAGTTGTCACATAAGTCGACCTAGCAAAATAAAGCGACAATTCAGATCTCGCTGAAGTAACCGATCGTGATATGCACATCTACCTTGGCGCTCCTCGGGAAACTGACATATTAAACCCTGTTTCATCATACTCATGCGCGGCATCGGTACAATGCATATCATGCGGCTAATAATTAAATGCTTTCTAAAGTGATATATGATACTAGCACAACACCGCATACAACACGGAGTAGGACCTCCATATGTACCCACTTCAGATGCCAATGGTACCGCCTAGCTAAAACAAGATATGATTTACTCCAACCTCGGTCGTTATGCCTTTACTCGGACACTCTCGGCGAGAAAGTACAAAACTAAGACTAGTGGATGGTTTCTAGTGACTGCATATTTTTCACCAAACTGTTGTATCCACGGCTCTTCACAATGCAGTCTCCAAGATCTAGGAGATTACAGATGCCAACGTGCCATTGTTTCTGTGTAACGTCCTCGAATCCGATATGCACGCTGACTGGCATGATTGCATCTCACAATCACGATCGCTAATCTGTAGCCTGTCGCTTTTGGCCATGCCGAAAATGAGATCGAAATGAGCTTGTGATACTCCGTATACATGCCGAAGGACTTATCACATTTGTCAGATGTTGACGTGCCTTTCTGTAACCTTTTTGTTCCTGATGCTCCTAATGTGGAAGTGCGCTGTACGACATGATGCCCAAACTCTGCCCAAACACAAAACAGCGATTTAGCGCTGCATTTCTTTGAATGGCTTCTTGGTTTTCCAAAATGTCACAATTTGTCGTATCCATTACGTTAATACTACATGTGTCAACAATTGGAGATACTAATACTGACACTTCACTTGGGTGATAACATCTTCTAGCTAGTTAAGTAACCTGCTTCACAATATTAACTAGCAAGACGCCACCACTCTTCTCACCAGCGCATTCGTGGAGATGAATCAGCCGATAGCCTTCCCGCAGCCGGTCAAGTCGGATGCAGGCCCATGCAGCCAATGGATCCCGACCGATCTCGTCGTCCTTGATCTTGATCCTAAAAAAGAAAGCAGATCGAGTCAGTGGCTTGTTCATACATAATGCTTGCATCTTAGAATGTGAAACGCAATATGGGGCAGTGTGCATGATAGTGGGGGTGATGCTAGGGAAAGCTACAGGCCGCCTTGCTGAGCCCAAGTCCAGATAATGCATCGTGTTACCAAGGGGGAAGCCCGGAAGAAGCAAATACCAAGCCCGGTCGTCATGTTTATGTGATGCGGGAAAGTGCATGCGTTCTTTGACGGGTATCACAATGCAGTGTTTATGCCTGCATACTCGAAAACGGACTCATGTGACGGAAGGTAGAAAGGCAGCAAGGGGAAATCTCATAGAGCAAGGAAGAGGACAAAGCCCGACGGAAATTGCTCGATACATCGATGTAAGCAAGAAATCGAAAAGAAAGACTAACCGTAGGAAACTCAGCTCCTCAATTATCCCCGTCACGGTCGGGAACTCCAATTTCTGGCCCTTAAAGTCTGGGTTCCGACCCGAAGAACTCTTAGTACACCGTCTGTAGCTGCTCTTCTCTGTGTCAGAGCTGGCGTCATCCTGGTCCGGGGTAACATCGCCTTCGGGTTCTTCGACGTGCAGCTGGCAGTTCACATAGGGTTTGAATCCCCTCTCACTGTGGTCGCCCAGTGGCAGAGAGAGATCCTGCGCGGCGTATATCTCAATTGAGAGGGTCAAGTTGCGGCGCTCGATAACATCTGTCGGAGAACCTTTGCTACTTCGGTACCCAGGGGGCTTCAGTCGCCAGCCGTGGGTTCCGACAAACATTCCGTGATTGAGCATCATGCCCTTATCGAGGTTCTGCCAGTTCAATGCTACCAGCTGAGCACCACGCCGCCAGTAGAATGTTGGATCAAGGTTTGATGAAGTGACTCGGAATGCGTACGGGTAGATACGCATCATAGATGTTCTGTTATGTTCGAACAAAGCATCGCGATGGGTGACATGGGCTTCTCGCGCTGCTTTCTCTGAGAGCGAGAACACATGGAGAGGGACTTTGGCCTCTGTTAACCAAATTAGCATCGTCGTCATGGCTGTATTTTGCAATAATGATGCATACCAGGTTGATCGAAATGACTGAAATGATACGCGCGAGTATAAACTGCCAACTTGGCTAGAGCGTCAAGGATCTTTGATGGCTTCGGCGGCTGCTGCCCCGAGGGCTTATCATCGGATTGCTGCGGCGTCAGAGCTTCTCCCTCCGGTTTCTCGTCCTCGGCACTGAATGGAGTACATTTGCTCTTGATCAAGATCTTCTTCCTCAGGTCAGCTAGCGAGGGAAGTTTCCCATCATCTGGAGGAGCATCCACAAGAAATCCTTTCCATGCCTCCAACATTATGTCAACCATTGTCTGTTGCTGCTCAAGAGACGCATGGACCTCGAGACTAATGACCAGTGGAAGATCACTGGCAACAAATGCACTGTCCCGGATCGCATAACAGATTTCACGGAATGTAGTTCCCTTGGTTAGGGTATGGCCATGCAGAACACGAGGCTCAGCAGTAACAGGCATGTGGCTCGTTGCGGTCTCTTCGCCCGATGGTCGCTGGGGTGACTTGACGGATTTACGACGAAGGACGCCACCAAGTTTAGCTTCCAATCTCGACGAGAATGACTCTTTCTGTTCTTTACCGGGCTTTTCTTGGCGACTCTCCCCACCTTTCGTCTTCTCTTCTGTCTCCGAATCACTGCTGCTACTGTCGCTATCTCCCTCGCTGTCGCTTGAGTTCGGGGTGTCCGATTCTCCATCCCAGACATCAATCTCGACGGACCTGCAGCCGCGGAGGAGGACCTGTTGGAGCATGAGTCAAACATAAATTCCAGGTCTTAGGAGGTTATAACATTCATGGAACGTAAATGGTAGGGCCATTCTTCAAAGTATTCAACTCACAGATGTATAGGCACTAGCAGCAGCGTCACTGTACAGCTGATTACCCGTCAAATAAGTGTTGTGGCTTGACGAGATGAAGTAATCTGAAATGGGCGCAGAAAGGTCGAGGGCTTCTTCTAGTGCCATCGCAGACGAGTTCGCGTCCTTCATGTATGCACGAAAGGCGTCCAGAGAAGCCAAAACGTCGGCAACTGGCTCGGAAGAAGTTGCAACGGTAGTGTCATGTTGCATTTCTTGGAGAAAGTAGTTGGTAGTTGGAGCATATGCCTCAACAGACTTGTAGATCTTCTGGATATGATCGTCCAAAGATGGGTGGAATTTGTCCACGGTGTATGACGGTGTCTCAGGTGGCTCGTGGAGTACTAGATGTTTAGCATGGTCCACGAGAGCCTCGACTTTCTCCATTTTGCACTGTCGTATTGTTGGTAGGCTATTCTGTTCCGGCGGGGAGTATGCTAGGAGATACAACCTTATGGATGTTGGGTAAGTGGAGGGGTAGGGTTATTGGCAAAAGATTGCCCCGCTTGTTTCAGTGGTGCCAGTTATGTGTGAACTTAGATCGAATAGAACATCAATGTATCACGATGTAGAAATGACATGTCGTGGATGTCAGGAGAAAATCCTAAAGTGACCCGTGCGTCCAACTCCCCACTGCCAACGTGGTGCCCCTCTGCCTATACCATCGTAGAGTGCGCTTTCAACTTTCAACTTTCAAGTGTCCAAATGAATGCCTGATATATTTATTTTTAGTTCGAGCATGAGCATGGCTTGTATAGGAAATATGGATTTGTTCAATATTATCTCCATAGCTTCATAGCTTCATAGCTTCATAGCTTCATATCCTCGCACGAACCATGAAAGTATCGGATTAATAGCAAGGCCATTAACCATTAGCTATTGTCTATTAGTTATTATCTGTTAATGAAAGACCAAAAAGCCTTCTTATCAGCAACCTCGTATTATTCCCTGTGTTTCTAAATCCCGTTTCAGCTGATAAATCAAAGGCCCCCGCTCCCGAGGTCGGTCTGTTATATATGTGTACATAAAATAGAACGGCCTCCCAACAATCTGGACAGTTATTTCAAGTTTAACTCTAAGGATATATAAGTTACATACAAGTACACAATGACTGAATCTAACATTCATTTCTTCGATCTCCTATCAGACCTACCCGGTACGGAGCAGCCCCCATGTTCGATGACTCTACAAACAAACCTCTAACCCAACCAGGCCCTTCCAAGTCATGGTCTCCCAACACCCTTCGGACCAGAATGGTCCTTAACTTTAAGGGAATTCCCTACACCCAAAGTTGGGTATCATACCCCGACATTGCTCCTTTACTCAAGGCCCATGGCGTCCCACCTGCCAAGTCAGGGACACCTTACACATTGCCAGCAATCAGCCATAAGGGGTCGATAACGAGCAACCCTGACGGTGTGCTCATGGATTCCGATCCGATCGCCATGTACATTGACAAGCTGTACCCGTCGCCCCCGCTCTTCCCCTCCGGCGATGCAAGCTACTCGCTCATGGTCGCCGTGCTGAAGATAGTGAGTTTGATGTCACCGAGTTACAGGTCGCTGGTCATTCCCAACGTTCCATCTGGACTGGATGAGCGCGGGCGGGAGTACTTTATCCGGACGCGCACTGTGGCTTTCGGGAAGCCGCTTGCTGAGGTTAGACCGACGGATGAGGCAGAGTTGCTTGCCTTGTGGCAGATTGTTGAGAAGGAGGCCGAGGCGCTGATCAAGATGCTGAAGGGCAAGGAAGGGAAGCAGGGGCCCTTTTTGGAGGGTGAGAAGGCTGGCTATGCGGATATGATTCTCGCTTCAATTCTGGCTTGGTTCCAGCGCTTTGACAAGGGTACTTTTGACAAGATGCTTGGTCTTGGAGAGGGGGAGTTCAAAACGCTTTATGAAGCTTGTTTGCCCTGGCTTGAAGGGCAGGGGGAGGAGAAGGATTGGCCGATTCCCCAGTAAGTGATATACCTCGACTTTCTCAGCGATGGGGGTGGCTGTTCGGGATACTCCGCAACGAGCTTAGATCTAAGACAAGTATCATTTGATATATAGCACAATCGAAAAACAAATCAATGTAATAATACATCCCGGATGCTCCAAAGAGCCCGGTCTATCCAATATCCAACAGTATTGAGGCGGTTCTGGGCGCCCTGCGACACAAACCCAACAAGAAAAGTACAATCGCTTTCATGTGTTCCACTCGAATTGACATAACACGAGATTACAGACCGCGGAGGAAGTTGGACTCCTTGATGGCCTTCCGCCTGGCATCGCGTGCACTCTTGATAATCTCCGAGCGCTGCTCGAAGCCTTCGGTGGCATCGGCCATGGCATCTGCTGAAGGAGCGTCGCGGTTGTAGGGTGCAGGGGTGATATCGTGAGCGTGGTGGTGAGCGGGGATCTTAGCGGCGAGGGGGCCAGTACGGGCGGCTAGCTTCTTTTCATAACGCTTTCGTTGCTTCTTGTTCAAGGCTGCGACAGGGTAAGCATCTTAAGAAAAACCGGAAATCCAGGAGATAGCTTACTGCTTGGGTCAACACCACCCTGCTTAGTCTTTGCGTCCTTGGTGGCATCTCCCAGGAGGTTCCATAGCCAATCTGGGTACTCAGAATCCTCCTTAGCGAAGACATCCGGCTTGTTCTTGAAGTAGTTGAGTCCGTTCAATTTGGTTCCAGCCGGGCAGCTGCTCGGTGGGCGTACGACAGTGGGTTTTGTTGAAGCTCCGGGGTTGGCATCGGTGTGGACACCTTCGGGGGTGCTCAAAGGCTGAGAAACGCCGGGGGTAGCGGAGGAGATGGCGGACGGGGTTGTGAGGTCGCCGACCGTGGGTTGGCGGGGGGGAGGGCGGAGAAGGAGTAGCAGCCACAGGAGAGTTGTTATCACTGCTATATGAGCGGAATTGGCTGCGAACTAGAGGCAGCTGGCGTGCGCATGCTGAAGCCGTCCGGATCACTGGCTGCTGGTTGAATCGGAACAACATCGTCGTGCGGCAGCTTTTGCAGATCATTGTGACGGGATAAATCAGAGAAAGATGGAGAATAGTCTAGGACAGTATTGAAAGGTTCAAGAGAAGCCCTGGACGACGATGAATCCCAATCGCGTTGAAGATGCAATAAGACACGCGCGGAGACAGAGCCGTCGCAGAAAACTGCGGCCATATTTGATGCCAAGACGGAGATGAGTCACGTGATACTCAAGCATATAACAATATGCGTACGTCAGCTTCATTTCTTGCAGCAAGGCACTGATGTTCGTAGATTATATTTGTGGCAAATTAATATCTTCAGTACACTACGACTCCTAATATTTCTTGTCCTGACGTCGTCACCCACGCCGATTTTGTCCAGACGTAATATCATACATCACGTGATGACACACATCTCACCCAGTGAACATCTACTTCTCGGTTACCTCAGAGAACACCTGCTACAAATTCAAAGGATCAAATGCAACTTTTGTTCAATTCGCATATTGCGAGAAAGCGACATGTATAAACGACTCTGTACACACAAATGGGAAAACGTCACACGGACCGACCTCGTGAGTAATGCAACCCTAATCAACATGCTAAAAAGACAAGAAAACAGACAATGACCATACTAGAACACATGCTTCCAAAGCGTCATTGTTCCAGTGAGTAGGTATATTAAGAACACGTGAGAAAGCAAACAAAACACAATTATGGTATTGGACCAACAGTACGAGGACCGCGCTATGAAGACAGACCACTGACATCCAAGAAGTTGCAGATGTCCCGGCATGCATCCTTCAGGCTTTTTTCTGTCTTCCATTGAAGCTCTTCCGTTGACCGGTCGACGACCGCAACGCAGGCTCCAACATCACCTTCGCGACGTGGCGCAGCACGCCGGGGAATGGGCTTCTCAATAACAGACTCCATAGTGCTGACCACATCCATCACGGAATTTCCCCTTCCAGTTCCGAGGTTGAATGTGCGGAAATTCTCTGTCAGCTTGCCCTCGTTGGCCGAACTGAGCGCGGCAATATGCCCACGAGCCAGATCACTAACGTGGATGAAGTCACGGACGGCAGTGCCATCTTCTGTTTCCCAATCTGTCCCAAACATCGCGAGTTCGGGATACTGGCCGGTCATGACTTTGACAACGACGGGAAGCAGGTTTGTTGGTGCCTGTCTTGGGTCTTCGCCCAAAAGACCGGAAGAATCACAGCCAACGGGATTGAAATAGCGAAGTGCAACGATAGTCCATTCGGGGTCTGATGCGGCTAGGTCGGCCAGGATGGTTTCACAAATCCATTTTGTGCGTCCATATGGGTTGGTGATTCCAGTGCATCCAGGTTGGATGGATTGTTGTGAGCCTTCGTGATCTGTGTACAACTCTTCCTTGTGAACACACAGTTCCTCTTTCAATGGAAGACCCGAGGTTGCGAGAGTTCCGTATACCGTGGCTGAAGACGAGAAGATGAAGGTCTTGATGCCGAAGTCTCCAAGTGTTGTGGCAAAGTCGACAAGGCCGCTAACATTGTTGGAGTAATACTTCAGTGGCTTCCGAATGCTCTCCTCCACCGCTTTATACGCCGCGAAGTGGATGACTCCGGCGATTCCCGACTTGGGAGTTCCCCACCTGGATGGGAGCTGGTACTCTTCAAGCAGTGGCCGAAGAGCTTTGGTGTCCCGATAATCGTGTGCATGCAATCGGAGAGATGGCATTTTCGTGCCATTCTCCTCGTGGTGCTTCTTAGCCAACAGGCTGATACGGTCAAAAACATTCTCGAATGCGTTGCTAAGGTTGTCGATCACAATAACGTTATAGTTTGCCTTGAGTAGCTCAAGCGTGGTGTGACTGCCAATAAAGCCAAGACCACCAGTGACAAGAATGTGGCTTTGCAAAGGGATTCTGCGCAACAAGTCATGGAGATTGTCGAATGGATCCCCAGCCTCTGTTGCAGGAGTGTCGAGGGCGATAGGAGATTGCACAGGACTGCTTGCATCGGACCTTTGGGGGCTGTCCGATCTCGAAGAGGAAAATGACGTTGGCTCAATCATGATGGAAAGTCGACAATAAAATGATAGGTAAGTTATGCCACCACTTCAAACAATGAGAGAAAATGTTTTATGCTATTATATGACCAAGACTGAGATATCCTATTCTTCGGTGGGCCCTTAACCAAGGTTTTATACAAAACAAGCGAGGTACTTGCGTTGGCTCACTCGGATTCTCTGTTTGAGTTCATCTATTATGCCATCCCTCCTTGGCGAATGAGGGTCTAGCACAGTGCCCCCGGCAAAAATAGAAAAAGAAACAAAAGGAACAAGCATAAGCGGAATAAAAAAATCACAAAGGGAGCGCTAGAGGGGGCAGTAGGCATAACCTGGAACAGAACCATCGGGCAGGATGCCCCTTGGTGGGCCAGACATGCGGCTGGGCCTATATCATTTTGTACCTCCAAATGCCCTAAGTACGGAGTATGTCTCTACCTGTAAGTTAGGGCCTCCGCTCAAGCTAGTATAATAATGGAATTATTGTTTTTTTATTTTTTTTACTTTATATCATTTTTTTCTAAAAAAAATATTAATATTTTCGTATTTTCTTTCTATTTCCAACGTCTCAGCCAAGACCCTTTCTGCATATGGTCGAGGCCCCAGATTCATTTTTCGCCGGAGAGACACTCAGCCTAAGGTCGTGTTGAACAGCAAGTTCTTTCGATGTGTATTTTTTTCTTTTTTAGTTGGCCACCCGTCTTTAGAAACTTCTTGCTCATATGTAACCGGTAGTGCTCGCGAACCCACTTTCTTCATTTCGTCTTTCTTTCTGTAGCCAATATGTCCGACCCCGAAAAACACGTGAGCAAGCGGACATGTCTTAAGTCGAAGCGCTCTCGTTTCATCTTGGCAATCGTGGTTCTAATTGTGATTATTGTGGCTGTTGTTCCCTCTGTTGTCGTTACTACTCTTAAGAAAAATAACATGGGTCCCAAAGCGAAGGTCTTTGTTCCACTCTACGTGTACCCTGCTCCTGAGGCGTGGGCTCCGCTGGAAAATGTGTATGTTTCTATCCCTTTCCATCTCAATTCCCTTTCCCTCCCAGTTACTGGATTGCTTTCTATCCCGGCCGGTAGCCCGCCACAGGCATTATGCCGCGCCGTTCGGGCGTCAAACCATACCATCACATACAGCTACTGAACGCCACAGGATATCTACCCACCCCGATGTCAACTTTACTGTCGTAATCAATCCAGGAAACGGCCCAGGGCCTGACTCCCTCCCGGATGGCAATTACACCCGTGAGATCCCAAAGCTCACTGCTTACGCAAATGTGCGTCTTTTGGGCTATGTGTATACCTCATACGGAAAGCGCAACGTTTCTGCTGTTCGCAAGGATATCCAAACCTATGCCGACTGGCCGACTAATTCCTCCAACCCGAACCTGGCGGTCCGCGGAATCTTCTTCGATGAAACACCTCAGCAATACGAAGCTCAAACCTTGACGTATTTGCAAGGGCTGACGGACTTTGTTAAGGACCTTAAGGATCTTGGTCCCGATCAATTTGTGAGTATTGCAATTCTTCCGAAACTGTATTCCCTTCCCCATACCATACATCCCCTGTCCCGCATCATCTTAGACCTGGTTTTTTTTGTCTCTTTATTGTTTTATCCAGTTTTGCCTTTTTAATTCCCTCGGTTACTATTCCCATGTCACTTGAGCCACAAGATGGCCTTATTGACTTTTATCCCAACACCACATATTCCATCCCAACCTGTATCATAATGGTTTCCCCTTCTGGGATACATAGGCGAAGTCCATTGAGCTAACTAAAACTATCAGGTTGTCCATAATCCCGGCGCTGTTCCCGATTCTCGGTACCTAGCAACAGCTGATTCAACCGTTGTATTCGAAGCTGCCTACACTACGTTCCAGGAACGGCAAGGCGCCAAGCTGTTCACCAATATTGCGGACAGCAATCGTACCCAACTATGTGCCATAGTTCACTCCGTGCCTGATGAGATCGAGGGCAAGGCCCTCCGCAGTCTGGTCAAGCAGGTGCGGCAGGTCGCGGATGAGGTGTACATCACCCATCTTAGCACGGACTATTATGCCTCCTTCGGTGCCAAGTGGACTGAGTTCGTCGATCTGATGGCAGCTTAAGCTTTTGAATTTCTCTCTTTAAATTACTTGCTTCGGTACGATGTGCACTGGTGAGATAAATTGGGCTGAGCGAGTTTGTGCACATATTCTTTTTGGTATAGCTAGCATGTTTTCGGTTTTCACTCATTTTGTTTTATGATTTTACGAGTTGATTTTTAGATTACCTAGTCCATTTAAATTTTCATGATCTGCGGCAAAATGTGAAATGAAAATTTTTCTCTTCTGCTTTCTATCCTGTCAATGCACAATTGATCCGTCTTTGTTAGAGGTGAGCTATACTTTTGAGGTCAAGGTGGAGTCCACGAGTGGAGAATACGTGTATGGTAGTAATTTTCAGTTGGGGGTTTTTTTTCTTTCCTTTTTTTCGTATCAAGAATAAGATACAGTAATACATGCCACTACGCCCCAACAGTAATTTATTCGGACCACTAACGAACTACCCGTCAATTGGAACATGTGGCAAACCAAAAGTATGGTTGGGTTGCGGAGCGTAGGGATATATTTAAAACCGGAGAGTGTGTCAGGGCATCCGCTCAATACGAGGTATAAACTAAATGTGGCTCAACCTAATCTGGCATGACTTAGTTTGACTGACGATGTAGAAATGCCAAACACCTTCCTTTCCTGGGTCTTGATCTAGACCAGACTTTTTTCTACAATGTCTCTGAGTTACCGCCCATCCGATCGATATATGAGACCCGCAGGTGGCTCGGAGAAACTCCCAAGATATCTCTATAGGATTGGCCCTCAACTATCTTGGCAGGGCATAACAGCAAGCCACCGTTTCAATTGGCGTGGACGCCATTCTTTATTCAAGACTGGAACATCCTGAGACAAAGTCTAAATTGGTATGCTAAGCCAATTTCTCAGTTAAAGTACAACGTATGATTCAAGTCTTACATAGTGTAAAGTGGTCAAAGACTGAAACAGTAGCGTGGGACATGACCTGAACAACAGATCTCGCTCGGGTATTAACATTTACTATTGGCGTAGGTCATCGCTATAATTTCCAAACTTAGTTTTGCGATACAACGCTGCATTGGAACAGGAATAATGTACTCCGTATGCATGTAGGTTTAACGTGATACAACTGTGGCTATGTCGAGTTACAAACCCGACCTGTCCCATTCCAACGGGGTCATACTCCAGGAACCAGGCCGGCGTGGGATGCTGTTACGCCGAGATATGACACAAAGCCAGCAATTTCAATAAACTACCCACCCGTCCCCATTACCAGTCCCTGACCAGATAGGGAATACTACAGTTGCGGGCAACATTTATCCTTTGTCTGGAGATAATTCTGTACGCATCGTCTGCCTCTAAGGAACCAGGTTCTTCCCTGGTAGCTCGCTGTAAGATGTAGTTTGCGGAACCCATCCTACACACTTCACCCTTGTTCTTCAACTTATGCGTACTATCTTTACTCCGTAACTCGGGTCGTACCCCTGAAGTTGAGCGCCGGTGGTGGCGGTGGCCGAAGCTAGTACCTCGTGGCATGACCGGATATTTCGGAAGCAAAGGGTCTTCGATCGATCTCTTGGCTACATTGCTTCTTGTAGCCGCTGGAGAACTGGACTAATACAGTAGGAGTATTGCCAATCGTTCCTACCATGCGTCGCTGGCTTTTTCTATAGGACCTTGAACTAAAAATGATTTGACTACTTACAAACTGCAACTAGTCGATCGCTGGGCGCTAACAACATAAGTGCCCAAGACCATTGTTTGAGGGAAGTGACGGAGGACGCCGGGGTGGGTTGTGGCTGCGGCACGATCGAGCAGCTATGAACATGCATGGGTGGACACGTCTAAATCTGAACAAATGGCGAACGGTTCTCTGCGCGTGCATCCAGGTTTGAGGTTCAGTTTGCACAGCGTTTGCCATGCAGCTTTTCAAAAACCCACCAATTCAAATCGGGCATCCACATTTTTCGGTGAACGATGGGTCGTGAATAGTCCGATCTTGAATAATTCTCACCTAGTGGGACCACTAGATCGAGTCACTATTCTAAGCGACCCACTATTTTCCCACTTCGGGTGTTAGTTTCCACCACAGGAACCCTAAGCCGTGTCGCAGAGATTTGCGCCGATCGGAGTGAGCATTAATACGAACAAGTGGAGGGAACACATACATAGCCGCCGAGGAACCTAACCACTCATCGCTGGGGTTGCGGTCAGGAACGGGGAGATCCCCTGGGAAAGCCACTCGGGTAACCGATCTTAGCGCCTTTTCATCCCTTGGGTCCTTGCATGTGGTGACCACGCGAGGTGGGCAGCTTCCAAGGTTCGCCTGTTATTGGTAGGCGGGTATATCACACGTGCTATACCGAAAGCAGACATGCACAAAGTGGAAAAAAAGCCACCCCAAAAGTGATGGTGCATTTCTACTGGCTAATTCTGATCAGAAGTGAGAATTGCAACTGGAGACCCAAAGCATTCTCGTGTTCAGCCGTCTTTGTATTGAGATCGACTGTGAGACATGCAAACTTTGTCATGCGATGAAACGAGGTTGAACTATGGTTGGCATTGGAAAAGAAAAGCCGCTAGACTCCATGATTCTTTTTTTTTCAATGAAATAAAACACAATAGGTAAAAATAGTATGACATACCGATGGCGATAAGTAACACATGACTGGGGTTTATGCAAGGAGCTTACATTAGCACTTATGATATATCCATCATGGCAAACACAGTCTAATCCACACTAATTAATGGTGGGAAATACTGGGAAAATCGAGGTCTAAGCAAATACCTTCGTAACTGACAAAATATACGTAAAATACAAATAAATAACGACATCGACGTATTTGTATGTAATTAAACCTCCAAAAATACACCAAAAATACCCCTAAACACATACGTAGTGAAGCAAAGTTTCCGGAGGAATCCACTTCCCCAAAGACCCAAAACGAACGGAACCGAGCATTCCAAGGGCAAGCTCTCGAACTTAACCAATTAGACCACTAAAGAGCTTCGACCCGCCGCCCCAACATATCCATATGCCAAGACTGCCAAGACCAGCATAACATCCTCTGTTACTGATCAAGTTCTTCTTGGGAAACTCCATGCCCCCTCATTGCGCTAGAACTCCTTTTGTTTCATTGAGGCCGATTGGTCAAAGAAGAGCAAATTAGTAATCGTTTTGTTCTATTCCAAGGCTAGAAGCAAAAAAGCCTATAATTACCATCAGCAATGGCTAATTAGTACCTTGTAAATAAAAAGAAGGAAAAAACCAGCTATTGGCGGGTGGCAGATCCGGCACAAAAGCCAAGCCTTAGTACAATAACCTCCGATTTCTCCGTCGCATCAATTTCTCCGTCGCATCACGCCATTAACAAACCGGGCAGACGGAAGACTCGGGGAATTGGACATATCATCCACTAGCAGCAGTAGATCCACTAGCAGCAGTAGTCAAAGCCACTAGAGACTATAGTCTATGCATAAAACGCCGCTAGAAGTAAGCGCAGTTTTTCGCCGACGATGGCGCGGGCTATTGTTGCTCTGCTATGAGCACATTATTTGGGCTAGCATTGGTGCTAATGTCACCCAGTACCAATGCGAACTTACGACATGTGCACTAGAAACAAGCTGCCTTTTTGTCGGAGTAAATGAGCTTGGGCTGGGTCTAGCCCATACCCAGGGAACGAAGCTGTCGGGTGACTGTTGTGCAAGGCTAGCGGGCTCCAATTCAGGCATAATGTAGCGATTATGTGCTCGCATTAGGCTTAATTATTGTGATGAGCGTGCTGCTTTCTCAACATGGCGTTTTTGCTTTCGCTTCTTTAGGCTTGCGAGTTGTTGTACCCCTGGTCCTGCTTCTCGTCGCTGTCATTGAAGGCAATGGGAGCCGAAGGCGTTATTTTGATGGTGTTGATGAATTATACACGGAGGGAAAGGCGTCTTTGAAAAGGTATCAAGTGCCGACAATGACGAGTTCGTTCCAGGGACTTTTGATATCTGGGCGCCATGTACTTCGTAGCGACTTGCCCATTTACTCCTTCTGTTCAGGCCCCGGGACCAATGAATACACAGCACGTAAACACGATGAAAGGAACGAAGTTATGGATGATGGTACTGAAAATATCACGTCGTATTACTTATACATGCAATGTCAACTCTTGGCTAGATATGACGAGCCCACCCCAAGCACAAAACCCCTATCACGGGCAGTATTCAACCCAATTATCCAAGTCCATGTTTTTGATAACAGTTGAAAAGTTGCCAGAGCTATTGGCCGTACAAGCAGATTTCGCCTGGCTGCTCGTCACCGACTTGTTGTTGTTGGTAGAATCGCCCTTGGGGTATTCGATATGGAAGACAGGCTTGTCCGCCTGGATGAAGGGCGCATAGGTATCACACTCCTCATACTCGGCACACTGCTCATTGACACACCATTGCATGTTATCAATGACAGAGTCAATAATACCTCCGCCATTCTTCAATCCAACCGAGAGACCACGGCTGTGAGACTGGGAAGCAAGCCAGTTCACGTAGTTGATGGCCTGGGCCTTGGTGAGACCAAGGCCGTTCTCGTTGTCGTACCCGTCGATGTTGTCAGGATCAACACCGTCGCAGCCCTTCTCCACTGCGATATCGAGACGCGCCTGCATGATTTTGCGCACGTTGGGGGACGTGACGTTGAGCCATTTCTCGCCGGGCCATCCGTCGAGATTTTCGCCCTTATCTGCGCTGTCGAAGTCGCCGGCGTCATCCCGCCAGTTTTCGAACGAGCCGGCCGAGAAATAGCAAATCACTTTGCGGCCCATTTTTTGGAGATCCGAGATGACGGTTTTGTTGTTGTCGAAGAGATCAATGTCGTAGATTGGTGCGTCCACCGAAGTGGAGATCGGTGCACTATCCCCAGACTTCAGTATAATCTGCCACTTAGTGCCAACAGCTGGCTGCCACTTCACGGTTGTATTTGTTGGTGTCGTCGTGTTTGTCGTACCGGAACCGGTGCCCTCATTATCGTTATCATTGTCATCGTCTCCGCTGTTCTTGAGGCCAATTCCTAGTCCAGCGCCTAGGCCGACACCCAGAGCAACGATGACAAGAGCGACGGTTCCAAAGATAAGAACCTTCTTCTTGGTCGACCAAGCCCACCAGCCCGTCTTGGATGACAAATCACCCATGAGTGTAGATTTTGAAGCGACTGATTAAACGATGGACGAAGCTTAGTTGTTTGGGTGTAATATATTGGTGGGATCAAATGTGGTGACTCAAAGTCGCGGGGTATTTGGATTTAATGAAGGAGTATGGGGTAGCCCAAGGAAGAGAGAAAAAAAAGAAAGACGAAAAGATCAGCAGGCACTAAGTCGGGAGATAGGCATCTTTAAGCTCAAAATAAAGGGTCCGGGGGCTGAGGGAGATCCTCCAGGGTACCGGAAAGGCCTGGATGTTACCTTGGAAAAAGCAAAACTCAGCCTTAGATCCAGAAAATGAGTGTCAGAAGTCCCTGAAATCACTTGAAAAGAAAGTGTACAACATACAACGGAGGAAATGAGGATGCCTAGACGGCTAGAGGGGGCCAGGGAAGGCGGCGGTAAAGACCCCCACTCACCTGTCCAGGTCAAGTCCTAAGGCGAAAGATAAAATAAGGTGGTGGAACCTGCTGATCTGATCTACTAATTGGATCGTCCTAATCTTGATAGATTATTATCTACATAGTACTCCGTATACATAGTAGAATATATTGAGACAAACAGTAATTTTAAAAAAAGAAGAATGACAAGCCACAGGAGCTCAGGGGTTGACGGTTTGAATTTCAAATTGCCAAGGATAAAATTTTAGAACAAGCTACAATAGGTTGGTTTGTCGCCCAAAATAGTCACAAAAAGAAAAAAGACAAAAAAAAAAAAAAAAGAGAAATCTCGGGTTGCCAAGCCCTACTCCGTACTCCGTACGGAGTACTCTACTTGCTACTGCATGTGCTAGTTGAATTGGGGGGCTAGTGAAACTTCAGCCATCTTGTCTTTTTATAAACAAAAGTGCCAACAGCACTAGAAGGACTTGAAGGAATTGAAAGGTCTTTGCACTTCCAATGTTCCTGTTTGGAACATTGCCAATAACCAAAAGGATAGATGCATGTGCTGGCAAGCGCCTTAGCCCTAAGTGTGGGAGCAAAGTCGGGGTTGGGTGTTTTTAGCCGTCACATCCACGGTACTGGTGTATCGTGGTATTATATTTTGTTAATTACCATTAAACTGTAACAAAGATCGTTTTTGTAAACACCCCTCAAATGCCGGTATTTTACTAGCCCTAAAAAAACAGGCTTTCGACAGCCTAAACCAATTTGAAATGATGATCAGTATCAGCCATTTTCAAAACCATCCAATACTAACTTGCCGGGCTTCTGGTCGACGACAAGGATACCCCATCATCTGATGCCTTGAAACTTTTTCTGAATGATGCTTATATGCTGACACAGAATAATGATATTTAGATTTGGAATACTTGTACCTATCGTAACTTTGAATATCACTCACTAACCTAACTAGTTAGCATTACTACAACATATAGAGTGCTACTGTTACTATTATTATCATCTCACTGTTCGGTGTTTCAAATTGAACGCTTTTGTTGACTTTTTACTCTCCTACATGACCCGCTCTCTCCACAGTCCTTTCAGGGCCTAGCATATATATCATCGACGCTAAAATAGACTACCAGAGAAAAGCCAAACCCGAACCCGATGGCGCTAGTCCCAGATAACCCAATCGCCTGATTCTTCCCTTCCCGTGAATCCCTTGGACGCCACACCCGCTAACCGAAACAGGTCCACAGGACCGGGCAATTACAAATCTGAGTCTATACGAAATTCATTACCCCCGAGTCTCGGTTTTTGCCCGAGAATTTGAAGACCTCGAACCTATGCCAAGATCGCGCTTAACACTTTCCAAGGTTCACCGTTTGACAACTCACCTTACGCTTGACCCGTTCGATGATTCTTGATTCAGATGAGTGTCTCGCTTAGAATGCACGCCAAGGAGTGAGTTTTTTTTTTTCTTCTTCTAGCTCGTTCCATGATCTCGTAATATCTGTTCCCGGAACCTGCCGCTGCTAGGGATAGTAAGGAATAAAAGAAAGAGAAAATAAAAGACAGCAGCAGCGGAAGTCAGAGTAAGCTTCAAAAGCCGAACTCAACCCCAACCGTCAGCTTACATGACATACGTTATTCATGACTACCAGGTACGGAGTAGAGGGCATTAACTCCGAGGCCGACTGGCTTTGATGCCCAGAAATCTACGGAGTCTGCCAGCAGATATCACCGAAATGGTGCCATTTTATGCCCCTGATTCCATATTTAGCATTGAGCCTCCTTGTTTCTGGAGTATGACTCGACTGGGCACGGAGTACGGAGTAGTCTGATGCAGTAGCTGCATGAAACCCCGTCGTATACATGCTTCCCCACTGTACGGAGTAGGCCTGGAACCGGATATCGGGACTCAATTAGATTGCCCTATGCACCATGCAGGTGGACTATATAGGAATATATGTGTACCGGCATCTCAGACATTTACAGCAGCCGATACTTGCATTTGCGCTACATCCACCGGCCTTAGATTCCGAGACACAATCGTTATTTTCCAAATTACTTGGCTCAACATACATTGTCCCGATGGCGGTCATCAGTTGAGCAGTATGAATATGGTGGTTATGGTGTTAGCCGTGGCGTTGAGAGACAAGTTAGGCCCTAAGCTCGTTGCCAAGGCCGTTCTTCTGTTTTTGGCCTCCTCTGTACGGGGGTAGACGGGATTGACTTGCTAGTATTTGCTTTTGCCACAATTGAATGGCTTACTCTCATCAGTTGAAATCACATTTTCATTTCTTTCTGCATTCGGTTACATGACTCGATGTACAAAATGCATGGGAATCATTTTCCACGCGCCGGATCAGTCGGGCAATCGCGTCCCTTGCCTCGTACGACATTGTCAACGTTGTCACCTCGGACCTGCAGCGCGAAATTGCTAACACCATCACGCTCTACTAGACCGCCAGATGACATGTCCGAGGGTAGTATTGAGAATATACTTCTGGTTCTTTTTTTAGTTTTTTTTTTAGTCACGACACTGTTTATTACTCCATACAGACTGAGCTTTGAGTGTAAAAACCGTTCGGAAAGAATCATTGTATATTATCGTATAATTATACTTGAAGTTTCCAGACATTAGAAAACACAGGACATTCAATATTCGTATCAACAGAGAAGCAAGGGTTCCGTTTCCTTCACATATATATAAACCATTATTGACATCTAAAAGAGATATCCACAAGATAATATGAAAGCGATGGGTGATCAATAAAACCCCAAAAGGTACATCAACCTGCCAAATGAAGGCAAGTCAATCATCTTTACAACCTCTTAAAGGGCAATGGGGGTGGAAAGAGTGAATGTGACAGGGGAGCCAGAGAGCTCGACCCAGACGGTCAGAGGGTCAGCGCCAAATTGCTCAGTGGCGAAGCCCTGAGTGCTAGTAGGGGCAACAGGGAAGGTCACCGGGATAGGGTCAGTGCAGGTATTGCCAGTAGCAGACACAGTGACGGCAGTGATCTTCTTGTTGCTGGTGGCGTAGCTTAGAGAGTAGCCGCACTTGTCGCGGTTGAAACGGGCAAGGAAGGAAGCGGACATCTATGGGGAGTGAGCGTATGAACTAGAGAATGTAGCATATTTGATGGGTTTTATCTTACCTCCTGGTGAGTGAGTGTGATGATGGGCCATTCAGCCAGGCGGACAAACTCCTGAACCTGGGTTTCCACCCAAGCTTGCATAATGGAGTACTTTTCAGTCACACCGTTGATGGTAATCGGGTCAACATCAATGTTGCGGAGATTGGCCTGGTGGAACATATAACCATCGTGGAAGAGGCCAAAGAGATGACGCATGGTCTCACCCTTCTCGATGTCCAGGAGGTCCTGGAAGGTACCAGAACCAGCAGAGGTGGCAATCCATTCCGCAACGGTACAGGCAGGAGTGTCGCAGTTATAGTAGATGCGAGAGGCCCATCGAGGGTTGACCTGCATCCCATCGAAACCGTTGGCAGCAACAGTTGTGAAGAGAGGCCACATGTCATTCTCTTTGTTCAAAAGGGCAGGGCGGGTGTTGTCACCAACACAGTTCGTGATGCCGTTCTCCCACCAGGCCCGAAGGGCATCGCCGTTGTGCAGACCAGTGATGGCAGGAGGAATGATACCGTTGGAAGTGAACTTGGTGGCCTTGTCGATACCGACGGCCTTGAGCCAAGCCTGGTTGAAGCTGATCTCCTTGTAGACATCGCTGTAGGTGGCATTGTCCTGCTCCTCGTGGGTGAAGGTGTGGGAAATGTGACCAAACTTGTTGAGGTTGCTTTCGGTAGTCCACCAGGCTAGGAGTTCATCCATGGCAGTGCAAGTAGCAGTCCAGTCGTAAGTAGTGGGGACAGCGGGCCACAGGTCAGTGCCAGTTCCGAGAGGTTTGATCCACTCAAGAGGAGTATCAGCAGGCGATTCGTATTCGATAGCAGCCCCGCAAGCATCCCAGCCAGAATCCGAGGTGTCTGAAGAGTTCTCGATGTTTCCGTTACCATTGTGTCCAACTTCGACGAAGTAAGAACTGCCAGCGGGCATCTTGGCGTTGATCTCATCAGTCCAGCTGGCAATTTTGCTCATATCCTGGGCGCGAATACGGAAGTTATTACCAGCGGGTGAGTATATTTCAGTCTCGAGGAACATATCATCAATCTGGGTGTTCAGGTTGACACGGCGGTATCCAGCGTACAGGCCGCGGGTGACCCAGGTGATCCATGCGTGCTGCAGGTAGCTGGATGTAGAACTCCAAGTAGTATCAAAACCGATGAAGAAGGTCATCTGCTGACGACCATCGAAGTCGCTAATCACACCAGCAACACTCTCAGTGGTGAAGCCTGTGGTGGGCGCGAATGAGGCAATCTGCTTGGTAGAGGTGGTGTTGGTGATAGTCGCAGGGTAATGCCACAGACCACTGGTACTAACACCAGCGCCAGTCTTCAGGCCAGATGTGGGGAAATCACTAATATCGGTGAATGAGACAAGTTGCTCAACGCCGCTGTCACAGCATCCGCCGATAGCAGATGTACCAAATTTAGGACCTGGGTAGACATCGTATTGGACCATACGAACACCATATTCAAGCTGGTAGGCATAAAGCTGGTTCCACTGATCGGTGGTCAGGGCACTCTGGAAGCCCAGGGTACCGCCATAGTCATAGCTGACTTCAGAGGCAACGACAATACCCCCAAAGTTTCTTCCAGTGGTGCCATTGAGGTCGGGAAGAGTCACACCAGCGGAGGGAACAATCAGAGTGGTGAATGGGATACCGTATCCATTGAGGCCGGAGCTGGCCACGCCTGCAGAGGCTGCATCTCTGGCAATGACCAGAATATCAGCTGCAACAGCCGCGTGGTTGAGCGGGGTGGCAGTGGCAGAAGCCGAGATCGAGATGGCGGTGGATGACATGCTGGGAGTAGTCACAGAAGCACTTGTGAAAACAGGTGCAGACGAAACAGCCGAGGATGAAACGAGTGACGAAGATGTAGCACTCGAAACAGCGGACGAGGCAGATGAGTTGGCCGAAGAACTTCCGGAATACGAGACAGGAGAGCTAGAAGCGGAGCCCAATGAGACAGATGATGACCCACTCTGGGTAGGGATGCTAGAAGAAGCGGATGAAACAGTGGCGATGCCTGAGCCCGAAGCAGACTCTGACGGGATTGCGCCCGACGAGGTGAAGGTAACGAAGGTGGATGCTGTAGAAGTGATTGGTACGACTGTGCTAGACGAACTACCAATAGAGGTAGAGGACAGAGACACAGAGACAGAGACAGAGGTGGTCAACGAGTGTGTAGAAGTAGCGAGCGTGGTTGAGCTCACTCCAACAGAACTGCTAGGAGTACTAGAAGGAGTAGAGACTGGAGGGCGATATGCGATGACAGTCGGCGTGTTCTTGGGCCAAACACCGGGGGCAGTGTCGCATGTTATAAATGCGTAGTAGCAGCCGACCTTCAAGGCCCAGACTGGCACAGCAACCATGATATTGACCAGGTTCTCGATAGGGCAGGTCACACAGTATGCAGGTATGCAATACTAACGACTGACAGCTAAGAAAATAAAATAAAATACGGAGTATAAATGAACGAATGGAATTAGCTTGCGTTTGTCCCACATGTGCATGATCGTCGTCTTTATACATAAAACTTTTATGGAGTAACCCAAAGGTTTCAATCCAAGGCCTATCGCCTTTTGTGTCTAGCTAAGTTCGGAAGTAATCTAATCTAAAAAAATATTTCCATATAGGTCTCCATGTGGCGTTGACGATTTTGGGAGCGTAAAGCGAGCTCTCATCTCTTGGGGGTCTGAGGTCCGGCAATTTCACAATTGAGACACATAGTCGACCTAGGTACTGTGTTGGCACCCCATGCTAGGTATGCGATTGGTCAATCAACAATTGGTCTTGGCAGGGCCAGGGGAGATTTCTTTTCTTTTCCTTTTTTTTTGGTTAAAAATCGTAAAATCGGACAACAGGTGGGGGGAAAAAGGCGACGCTAGGCAATTGAATAGACCGAGACCTGAACAATATACAATGGCTAAAAACTCCGAAAACACATAATAATATTCAGTGCGGAGCAACGCAAAGGCCTCTTATTGCCGAGGCTCTAACGGGATCAGGTACAGTTCGAACATTCGCAGGGGAAAAAAAAGACTCGTCAGGTCCGAAAAACAATTGGCGTGGGGAAATGTCTTAGTCTAAATACCAAGTACCGAATTATGTATATATAAAATACAGAGTATTCCGAGTGACTCGGTTACGGTGTATTTATTTGTTTTCAGTACATACTGTGTAATTTTCACTTACCCGTTTGTACAACGTATATCTCGTCTTTTATTTCGATCGGGTTCTTCATTGTCCCAGTTCCACTCTGCATTCGTTTCATCAACTCCTAGTCGGCAGCTTTTCCAAGTATTTTCTATTTTCTCTTTTCTATTTTCTATTTTCTATTTTCTTCTTTTTGATTTAATTATTATATTAATTATTATATTATTATTTTGCCAAGACCTCGAGTTTTGCTTCTAGCCCGCGTCAAACTGCGTCCTTTTTAGCTTATAGACTAAGCAGACGAAATCCGACACAGATATACCCTGAGCGGGGGGGGGGGGCATGATGTGTTCAATGTTAATATGATGTGTTCAATGTTAATATGATGTGTTCAATGAGAACAGATTTGAAAGAACAGACAGGGCACACCAGGGTAATAATTGCCACGATATGAATCGCATGGCTTTGCTACACATGGTAGCATATCTGCCATGGACTGTGTACATATGCTTGGCTCCACCCAGTCTGTCTCATCAGTCAGCTCTGGTGCATTTGTTAGTGGCCTCTTTTAGTCTTGCATCTAGCAAAAACTTTAGTGTGTGCTATTTTTGCCCCGTGTTTCTGAGAGCTCTTCAATAGACGCCCAGACACCCACCCTTTGTCCTAAACAGTCCAAAAGAGGCGAACCCACTCCGTGTATACATTTTTTTCTTTTTTCTTTTTTTTTCCCATGACCCCTGATAACTGAGCAAGGAAAATTCTAGGAGGCGAAATTGTCTACTTTACTTCTGCGGTTTGGAGAAGTGGATATTCACTTTAAGCCCTTCCCCCACTACTCTTTTACCTTATCACCTTGCCAACACTTGAGCTCCCCTGTGCTCTCCATTTTTTGTTCTACGCCGACATCTTTGCCTTGTGCAAAACATACCAGTCACTCGTTTAAGCATGTCACTATAAGCATTTGCAGTTGAGACTCATCTCTACTTCGCAACTGGTTACCTCTTTATATCGTGCCTAGAGAGATATCAAGTCGAGGACTCAACATCTTGACATAATGGCAGTAAATCCACTCCCAGAGAGGCCACATCCTCTTGGCTGGGATGCCATGAAAGAACATTGGTGGCAATTTGTATGTTGATTCTGGTCCTCTTCACAATTTGCCGTTCAGCGCCCTCGTTGCAGACACAGAACTCGAAAATGGGCTGACAATTTCCACTAGGTATTCATTGGAGTTTTGCTACTCACAATCACCATTGGATCTTTATCAATCATATATTCCGGAGTAAAGAGACTTCTCAAATACTACAAGGTATGATATAGAGGCCACCCACAAGCTTGTTTTCTTTTTCTGGTTTGGATATTGATTCTAGCCTATTTTTAGTCGAGACCGCTACCGGACAATTTTCCTTTGAGTGTATCCAAACGGCTCGCCAAGCTAGCCAACCGAGAACTCAACTTGGTTGACAGACGTCCCCACAAGGGAAAGCCCACGAGCTTCGGAGTATACCTGGGAAGCTTCGAAAACCCACCTACTGTGTCACAAGAAAGACTGCTGAATGAATGGGATGTGCTGGTTGTGGATCCCTTCCAAGTAGGGGTCGCCAAAGCTATTTCCAGACACGAGCGCAGCCAAGTGCTAGGACGTGTTGATTTGGGGAAAGTCCTTCCTCCCAAGTCATCTGCCTTGACCGTCATCGAAAAGATCGAAGAATTGCTCGCAAGCGGATTTCATGATACCTCATTTTCCGGTATTCTCCTCGCCAATTGGGAAGATGTGCTCCGCCCTACCGCTCGAGGAAAGCTTATCGAGGCTATTAGCAGCCTCGGCCTGGCAGTCTATCTCGAGTCGGAGTCACCGCATTTCTTGAAGGATCGAAAGGCCGTGCAGAGTGACTCTGTGGCAGGCTTGGTCATCCGAAACGCTAGCATTATGCCTGAAGGCGAAAAGCGGGACTATTTCCAAATGGCCGAACTACAAGCAACAATCAAGGCCTTCGTCTCTGAGTCTTGCATGAGAGACTTTGTAGTAATGGCCTGGGAAACCGTCGACGACAATGTTACCATTCCCAATGCCATAGTCCGCAGATCTATCCAATGGTGTGGCTTTTACAGCGCAATTACCTGGATCGGCCCTGAAGCTGCTCTTCATAATGCAGATCTTAACGTCACGACTCTCGAACCTCTTCCCGCGTTTGGTTGGTTAAAGGAAGCAGAAATGATGAAGGCGCACGATATCTGGCGGGCCAACCTGAATATATTGCCTTCCCCGGATAAAAAGGCTGGCTGGGACGTTCTCAAGCCAATTTTCCCTGCTATTGATGCGCTGCTGGATTCGTCGGAGTACGACTCCAAGGCCCCCGACTGCCCGACTGCCCGAATGCGTGATCCCCCAGAATGGGTCGCACAGGTCAAGTCACAGGGCAGCCCTCTCTCCATTTCCATGTCAGGAATGGCTTACAATTCACTTGGTTGCTTCCCTCTCGGTTCAGACTCGACTCCATTAGCATTTGCAGAAATTGTCCAATCTCAAAAACGTCTCAAGTCTCTCAACCTTCTTCATCCCGTCCCGACAGCCAAAATCCAAAGCATTGGACTTCTTCTGCGTCAATTCTATGACTCTCTGGATCTCTCTGAAGATGACGATCATTTGGCCAACACAATCAAGGAACTTGCAAACTGGGCATCCAACGATCTGTTGCACGTCAATCTTTGTCTCGACTCTGGTCTCCGCAAGAGCTCTGATTTCCGCTTTTGGGCCGTTTTTGAGATGGAACATGATGGTATTGAGATTTATGTGTCTAAGAATGCGCAAGGTCTGGCTGGAACTATTCTTCACACCTTCCTATCAGCAAAGGGATTTCCCCGGCATGTCTGCTTCGAGGCTGAGGCGACCTTCGCGGCCTGGTCTCAAGATGTTTCCCACGATACTGGCCTCCCCCGTCGACTGATTCAAGACATCGATGTTCTCAGCCCTGAAGAGCGCCTCCTTCTCCTGCAGCACCTCTCTCTCACTGATTCTCACAGTGAGCTATCTGAAGCCATCTGCACCTATATTCGCAAGCAACTAGTAGATGCCCCTTCTTTTGCTCAGTTGAAGGCGCTGAATACGGTTGGGTATCTCGAGAAGTCTACATCTGCTGAAGACCTGATCAAGTCTCGTATCAACTGGTACATAGACCAAGGCTGCAAATACCCGTCTCTTGATGTCTGTCTTGATCTTTTCTATCAGGCTGACAGTGTACTCTCTGATGTTTTGAGATATCGCCGCGAGGATGATCTTGCCGCTATTACCAGTGGTCTCTGCGCTCTTCTTCAAGGTGGCTCCGTTGATACATATGTGGATATGATGGCTCTTGCACTTTTCTGTGCTGCAAGACAGGGGGCCTTCGATGAGATTTACGCAGAGGTGACCGATCGGAATCCTCTATTTAACAACCATACCGATCAAGCTGCCGCCTTCGCAGAATCATTTGCCCTCGGATCGCGTTGTGAAGCTTACTTCGATGTGGCTCCCAGTGTTTTCGGAAAGTTGCTATCGGACCGGTTCAGAGCTTACTACGGAGACCATCAGCCCCCAAACTGGGTGAACGGTGCTCCGGAACTTGCTACATCCTACGCCGGAGCTCAGATTGATGTCAACCCCGATGAGCAGCGTAAGACTATGCCTGGATACCAGCGATTCACATTCTTGAGTGTCTTCGCTATTCCTGCTTTGATTGATATCATTCTGCTTACCATGGTTGGCCGCGGACTCTATCTCTCTGCCGCCATGTCTCACGCTGAACAGGACAGTGCAACTATGGCGCTGATGATCTCTCTGCTACTTTCCGGTGCAATTGGTACCTGGATTGCGTGTGGTGGGCCTTATTACCTCATTTCGATGGCATTTGCAGCAGCAAATATGTTTGTTCTCATTCGCCTGATCGCTGGTATTGCCTTCACTGTGGCCGGCGGCTTGATCGGTTTTGTTGCCATTTCAAGTGTTCGAGGCCCTCGGGCTGGTATCATCTTCTACCTCTACCTAATTGCTCTGACAATCTACTTCTCAACATTCGCCTCGCTTGCAAGCTTCAGTTACCCCGGCTCGACCTTTTTGTCTGGCCGCAAGCCAATTATTATGTGCATTCCTATCCTCTTCTTGGCACCAATTATCACAGCCTGGAGTGGCCACGACTCGGCTGTCTATCTCGCCGTCATCTATGTCTTTATTGGTGTG